CAGGTGCCAGGACGCCGCTGAAGTTACTCCGACTAGCCAGTCCTAATCTGCTTCCCTGCCTCGCCGATGCCTTCCCATGGAAACCACAGTTAAGGCCCTTGCCCACAGTCTCCTCCTCCCTCTGCCTCCTGGCTGGCCCTGCAGGGTGGGGTGACGCTGGGATGGGGGTGGGGTGAGAGGGATGCCCGCCCTGTCCACCTGGATGCCCGCCCCCGCCCCCGAGTGGCGCGCCCCTCCTCTTGGGATCGGTGAGAAACAAACTCTTTTCAATGGCGATTGGCTCCTGATCTGCCGGCTTTATTGCATCTCAAATTCTATCAGTTCACTGTACTTTGGAGCAAGCAGTCACCTACATCACCACCGTGTCCTTTGAATCAGGGTTGCATCCGGGCACACGCTGTGGGTGCAGACGGCGTTCAACGCCCCTCGGTGATGCAAGGTGAAGCACGTGCCTCCAGAAGGGATTCCTGGCAAACACAAGGCCTGGAGAAGCCAAGCAAAACTCTGGGTTTTCTCCCCCACCCCCCCGTTGTTAATTAACGTGAATTTGTTCCTACCATGTTCAGTAGAAACTGCACCAACGAATTCCACCACCTTCTTATTGGCTCTTACAAAGTAGGAGACGGCAGTGATTTGTTCAGGCCCTGAAACAGAAACCAGTATGAAATCGCCCATCTACAGACTCCTCGGGGGCAGTGAGTGAGCCCTGCATGCTTCCCGCACTCCTCCCAAGTTCTCGTGAACCTTGCTGCTCTGCATCGAAGAATATACCTGCTTCCCCCCGGGGGGCCGCGGCCTAGTCCGTGAGGAGGGATGGTGGGAGCACGGCCGTGGCCCCCAACACACCCCTGGCCCTGCAGCCCCATAGGAAGGGGGGATGTTTCCAAATTCATCCGCAGCAAAGCACACCTGGCCTCCCTGACCTCTCGCTCCTTTGTGGCAGTTAAGACACCCCTTCGGCAACACACGGCCTTCACGTTGGCAGTGGCCCCCCACTCGCGATCTCCTGCTCCAGCCAACTTCACACGAGGGTCAGGTAGACAAAGGATGGGGAGTCTGAGCGAGTCTTCAAAAGGGAGACACACAGCTGGAGAGGACCGAGGTCTGAAATCGGTGGACGCTGCAGAATCGCCCCGGCCTGCGACGCCCCCTTCCTTTTGTTTGAATTTATGGCAATGCCATGGCAACCGGGATGACAGGGGCACCCACATCTATCTGGGTCATTTTTCTCTGCTCTCAGTGGCCTCTGAGGTCACGAATTGCCACAAATATGAGCAGATAGGATCACAGAGGAGAAAGCCCATCCCCACCCCCTCCTCCTTCCTTTAGGACAAAGGTGGCTTTTCTCCAGGCTCACCTCCGTTCCACCCATCACGCGCCGCCCATTATGGGATATGGGTTGCTCCAGGCACAGGCGGAGAGACTGTAGGCAGAACTGTGTGATGTGGAGAAAGACATAAACGATGCAAATTTCTCAGGATTTACTCCCTCCTGTTAGGTCTGAGGTGTTTCGTGGTCTCTCCCACTGTGATCTACAATCAGATTTTCTAAGAATCTGCAATCCAGACCCTCCTGTCCATGGATCGTAGGAAAAGATCCCTTAGGAGCAAGGGAGATGGGGTTAGTTTCCTATAAATATTTACAAAGTTCAATGCAACATCCAACCTAGGAGCAGTCTTGGTGCCCCTAGACTTTGACCATGGAGTCTATAGAAACCACACTAGGTATTTCAACAAAGAGAATTTAATGTGGGGAACCGGTTAAATGAGGTGGGAGAAATGTAAGAGCAAAAAAGGAAAGCAGCTCCCACCCCAACGCCTGGGAGAACAGAGAGAGGACTCTGGGCTTATCAGATCCTCCGAGGAGCCCCCACAGCTGAGACTCTGCCTGCCCCGGGAGCTCCTCCCGCGCCCTGTGCTGGTGCTGGGGGCACTGGAAGCCGCAGGCTCCTGGGTGGATCAGGAGTGAGAAGCAAGCAGAGCTGCGGTCCGTTCCTCCTTGCCCTAGGGCTTCCCATGGCTCCCCTGCCAGCAGAACCTAAGGGACGTGGCTGGCAAAGGAGAAGCCTGTTTTGCAGAGTCTCAGTCCTGGCCTCACAGTCAGGGTTTGAAGAATCTGGAGCTCAGAGACAACAGGCCCTTTTCCCGGTGGTTTGGCCAACGGAGTCAAGGCGAGCCCCCATCCAGGCAGCACAATCATGACCCAGGACAAGTGCATCTGTATCCACTGCCACATCACCAACCACGCCAACAGCGGCTCCCAGCAACGATTTTATTTGCTCCTCATTCTGTGGGCCAGTGGTTTGGGCTGAGCTCCGCTGGGACAGGTCATAAGCATCGGATGGCACTGGGCCTGCACTGGGCTGTCTCAGATGGCTTTGCTCATGTCTCGAGCGTGAGCTGGGTCTGCAGGAGATCAAAGTTAGGCTCCTACCCTCCCCCAGAGACAGGGACACAGGGGTGCTATCTCCCTCAATGGTCATCCTCGGGAAAGTCCTGGATTGGAAAACTGACAAAGGCTTTTTAAGAAAGATTTACATACATCTGGGGCACGTGGGTGGCTCAGTTCCTTAAGCATCGGACTCTTAGTTTTGGCTCAGGGTCCTGGGATCGAGCCCTGCATGGGGCTCCCCGCTCAACAGGGAGTCTGCCTGTCTCCCTCTCTCCCCGCCTCTCCCCCCGCTCATGCTCTCTCTTCCTCTAAAATAATCTTAAAAAAAAAAAAAGATTTACATACCTCTCATAGGGACAGAGAAAAAATTGACAGTGACAAATGTTCTCAAGTAATAGAGGTCAAGTCTGTCTTGGTCAGGCTGACCCAAGCTTCTTCACAGGACGGGCTCAGGGTGCACAGAGAGAGAACAAGACAGAGACACAGACACAGGGACAGACAGAAAAAAAAAGAGAGAAGGAGCTGCAGAACCTCCGGGGCCTAGGCTTAGAACCCCTACAACCTAACTTCTCCCACATTCTTTCGGTCAAAGCAAATCACAGCCCAGCCAAATTCAAGGGAGTGAAGAAGACGCTCTACTTCCTCATGGGAGAAGTAGCAAAGTCACACGGCAGAGACATGGACACAGAGAGAAGTAAAGAATCTGTGGTGTTTTTTTCCAGTCTAACACAAAAGGCCTGGACACGGTTGGGTGTTTACACAGTAGCAATACACGATCCTCTAGCTTCTGAGATTTCTGCACAACCCACTCACCATCCGTCATCCCATGGCTGTGGTTTGGGGTGGGAACCACTATTTTCTGACTTAAAGCGAGTCTCCAGGGACAATAAGCCCCTTTCTCCAAGATGTTTTCTACTTTTCCTTTCAGAACCCTCCCAAAGCCTCAAGGCAGCAGACATTAACTATAGCTCTTATTCAAACTGCTACTGTCCCAAGGGAAATACCCTCCTTCGAACATCGAAATCATTGAATTCTTTTTGTAACATACAAAATATGGGATCCAGGTATATGCTTCAAATAATACCTGGGAATTAGGGGAAACATTTTTTTCCCCTAAAACTTGAAGTGTTGAGCAAAGTATGGAATACCACAATGATCCCTCCCCAACCATAAACATCCTCTACCCCCAGCCCTAACTTCTATACCCAATTTCAACTTTATATTCCTTTTCTAGGGATGATAGTCCTGCTTCCAATGTGTACAAATTGGGACACACTCCTTTTTCAGGAAAACCAGAGAAAGGAGCATCTGGGGATTGAAAGTTAATAAAAAGAGAGGCTGTAGTAGAGACAAGGGAACAGGACTTTGGTCAATGAGGTTTTGGGAAAAATGAAGCTGAAGGAATGAAAACCCAGAACTTACAAGTGCACCCTTGTCTCGGCTTAGAGGGCAGAGAGTCGAGAGGTGTTCGGGAGGCTCTGATCCGCAGTATTGCAGCTGATCTTTGAAGTGGGGGGGAGACCGAGAAGAGGGGAATTTGTTTCTGATGAGAAAACCAGAAATGCCCTGAAAAGTGAATGGAAAATGGGCGCGGTAGGGTGGGGAGCCTCTTAGGACAGACAAGCGTTATCTTCAGTGAAACAAAGAATTTTATAAACATCACAGGGGAAGAACTGAAGATACCTGAATTTGTGGCTCTATTTTGGTAAAAGGAAAATAATCACAAGAGTTTTGTGGGTTCCTCTGCTTTACATGTTCACTGAGTGGTCTATTTTTCCCCTTCAAGGTGGTAAGTTCTTCAACTCTGGCTTTTTCTACTACAGGGCTTTTGTAGCCAAGGGGGCAGTAGTCCATCTAATTAAACCAGTGTGGCAAATGGCCTTGACTCAAGGATGGTCGCTGGAAACTCCCCCCACATAAAAAGAAGGAATGGTTTGGCTAATTGCCTGCTTTAGGAGTTAAAGACCCCAAATTCATCATCACCATCACCAGCTTATACTGTATATAGTCTACAGATTGAGGTAGGTAGATGTATCCTGAAAGCTTTCCAGTGCACAGCTTGACCTCTGGCACACTGCAATCTAGGTTAATCCTCAAGCCCATCCGGAAAAGGCTTTTTTTGCAAGGACAGAGATCCAGATGGATCTGAGAGTGAGACCAGTTAATATCCCTTGTGAAATTTTGAAAAGACCAATTAAGGCCTCCAACCCAACGCCTTCCATCCCAGTGCACGGACTAGTGGTTCACCGGGCTTTCAGCGGCTCCAGAGGCAGTGACCGGTTTAACCACCTCGTGACCAGCCCACCTGTAGTCACAACCATCACGCAGTACTTCTTCAGGGCCCTTTATAAAGTTGGGGAACGGCAGAGGAAACTTCTGCCCACATCAAGGGGCCTGATCTGATTTGTACTTACCCACCTAGGGACCGGAAGACTCAGGGCTGCCCTGCCTCTGTCCCCGGCTAGCCGCGTGGGATAAACCAGCAGGTACTCCGCGCCCCCACGGCTCCTGAGGTGGGTTCTGGGGCCGGAAGCCTCCCCACCACCAGGCGGCGGGCAGGGGAAGGGGCGGGGGCGAGGAGGCGGGCCCGGCGGGCGGCGGCGCGGAGGATGCACCCGGGGGCCCTGGGGCTGTGCGCCCCGCTGCTGGCGGCCGAGCAGAGCGCGCTTGAGTGCCGGGCGGCCCCAGGCTGGGCGCCTGCCCCGCTCCCCCCTCCAGCCCCCGACCCAACCGGACGCCAGGGGACGCACGGGCCACTCCTGCCGCGGCGGGCAGCCTGCCCCGGACGGCGCTCGGCTCTGCGCGCCCGTGCGTGCACGGTGGCACCCCGCCCGCCCTCCCTGTCCCCGGTGGGTTCCCGCGGGTGCACGGTCCTCTCCTGGAGCCTGGGCACGTGTATTCCCGCCCTTCCCTCCGGAAAGGCCTCTTGGACGCAGCGGACGGCCGCGGTGCGAGCTGCGCAGGACGCGGGTCTGGGTGCGCCCTGCGCTCCCCCACCCCCCACCCGCCAGCCGGCCCGGGGGTCTTGGCGGCGGGGGAGGCGGCCGCGTGGCCCTGGGGGACTTTGAATCCGCTGCGGGCTTCAGGACTCGGCCAGACGGCTTGCTGGGGGAGCTTGTCCTGGACCAGCAAGATGGCAACACTATTTAGCGCCTTTCTGCTTTGAACTTGTAACTCTCTCTGTGCGGGGGAGTAGGCCTCCGCCCACTTGCGCCGGGCTCCCTGCTGATGGGTCTGTCTCCGCGGGGTCCTTGGGGAGGGGTGGGGGGTTTAATGAGGCCCCAGCCTCCAGACCTCCAGGGCCCCGCGCCCCTCACAGCACGCACGTACTTGGGGACCCCAGGCAGGCGGCGGCTCGCAACTTTAGCCCTATGGACAACTTGCTGCCTCGGGGTTGGTGGGGTCGCCAGTTTGCAAGGCTGTCCCTGTGGGTCCCACTGGGGCGTCCCCGCAGCGCGATTTCAAAGGCGCCCCGGGCCAGATCTTCACCCAGGAGGAGGCCGAGGGAGCGAGGGAGGTCTCCTCCAAATCTCCCTGGTCCAGCATCCAAACAGGTTGGCCTCGGGCAACACAGGAGCCCCGTGTCAGTACTCACCCCAGGTGCTCCCGCAGACGTTGTGCCCACTTTCCCTCTCACCGGACAACCAACTGGGGCCTCAGCATTGCTGGGCCTAGGCAGGGTGGTGACTCCTCCAAAGACTTTTTTGTGCTGGAGACCCTGGTTTACCTTGGCGGGTAGAGGGGTTGGGGAGCAGAAAGCCCAGGGTGGTTAGGACTCCCAACAGAGCCTGTCCATTCCCTGGCCCCTTGGTCCAGACCTGCAGGGTTCCTATCTGGCCCCGGGGCAATTCTGTGTTTCCACTACAGTTTGCAGCTTTATGTGCCCGTAAATCCATTTTAAACTTAAATATTGGAAAACCCAAGGAATGATCACATAAAACGACTAGAGTGAATTTGTGCACCTACTGGTGCTGGACAGACACAAGTCCCCCTCCCCTCACTGTCACTGATTGGGAGTACAGACCCTCACCTAGATGTGTCTAACTCTTTCTCTACATTACTTTACCCTAGCATCCTCAAAAATTAAAAAATAAATCCCCAGAGAGGAGGATTAGCATTTTCTAAATGCACATACCAGGTGCCAAGTAGTTTTTGCACGTGCTGTCCTATGCAAGCCAACAGCCCAGCCCCTCTCGGTGACCATGAGCCCTGGCACCTCCGTCCTTCCGCAGGCCTGTCTAGAATGCGAGCTGGCCGTGCCTGCTCCAGGGCTGGGTCCAGCGGGGAGTCCTGCCGGTGCTGAGGATGCGGCGTTGGAGGGGCCCTCACTCTCCCCTCCGGCCTTGCACTCACCCTATCATCTTTCCTCTTGCATCCCGCAGGCCTCTACTCCACGGTCTACGACTCCACCCCAGGACAGCTCCTCTGGGGGTGGCTGGCCCTTTCCGTGCTACTACCTGGCTTCCTGGTCCAGGGCCTGAGCGATCTGCGGTTCTGGGCACATGGACACCAAGGTCATTGTTTGCTGGCTGTGCTAATTCCTGCTCCTTCAGCTTGGCCTGTGGAAGTGGTAAGAACAAGCAGCCTCCTTTCACCTGTGGAGCGGGATTTCATAAGTGCAGTAGGAGCCTATGCATTCTATCCTAGGGTCATAAGAGGTCAAGGTTGGAAGGATGCTCAAAGCCACCACTTTGAACCCCTGCTCTGATAGGCATCCCGTCTTCCAGCCTGCACTTCCTTGAGCATCTCTAACATCAGGACGCTTCTTCCAGAGGCAGCTGTGACCCTTCAAAAGCTCTGTGTGTGTGTGTGTGTGTGTGTGTGTGTGTGTGTGTGTCTTTGGCCAAATTCCGTCTTGCTCTTGTTTAATTTGTTGGTCAAGGCTTTGGAGCCGTAGAAAGTGCCTCACTTAAGGCAGTTGCATTTAAACCCCTACTACCTTAGTTGAAGAAGGTGACATAGATTTAGCCACAGACTAGGCCATGGAGTTGGCCTGGTGACACTGGCCTCAAGGCTTTATTTCAGGACAGAGCCATTTGAGAGCCAGGCCCAGGTTTTTTTTCCATACACAAAGCAGCCTCAGTGGGCCTGGTGCTCAGGAGCCCTACCTGTGGTTCCCCTCTGCAGGTGAGATACTGGTTTCACTGGGAGTACCTGGATACCTGCAGTGTCAGGAGAGACCTGTCAGTGAGCTTATGTAAATGGCAAATTTCAGCTCTCAGCCACCTCATAATCCCCTCATTGCCAGGAATAAAAAAAAGGGGGAGAAAAGTTTGGCGATCGTATCAGCGAAGCCATGCAGCTCACGTGTGTGTTAAGTCCTGGAGGCTGAGGATTGGAAGGGTGTTCAGGAAGTCAGTGCAAGCTTGAGCCAGCTTACTGCTGCCTGTCGTTGGTGGTTTATGCCTTCAGGATTCAAGGCCCTCCTGGGCACCATCTACCATAGTAGAGATGTTCAGGCCCTTGCCTCAGCCCAGCCTAGGAGGAAACCCATTAAGGGCCGGGGTGTCCTGTACGTGACCTTGAGGACAGATAACCAAACATTTGATAACTCAGAAGGAGAGTTCAGTGAATGCCAGTCACTTGAGAGAAACTTCCAGAATAACTGCCCGATAAGTCTGCCTTCTGGGGCTACGTGAGGACCCTCAGGCCCATCCAGTCCAGTGCCTTCTGCAGGGATGGGGCTGTGTCGGGCCCACACTGCATCTCTATTCGTGCTGCTGGTGTCCACCTGTGACCCCACATTGTTTGCTTCTCCATGCTCCCACAAAGTTTCATAAGCGGTGGTATGAGTTTCTGGTATGTATTAACACTAAGATGGATAGGGAAGAGACTCATGAAAATTAGGCCTCAGGAAGAACAAAGTCACCTATATCTCTTCCTATTTTAAAAAATAAGGGGAAGTAAAAAAAAACAATTTAAAAGGGAAAAAGATATGAGAAAAGTCAGGAAGAGGAACTATAGGTCAGAAAGTAGGATAAAGTGAAAACATACAGTTCACGGTGAGCCACAAATTTGGCTCTAAGGTTTTTTTAATTCAATTAATTAACATATAGTATATTATTAGTTTCAGAGGTAGAGTTCAGTGATTCCTCAGTTGTATGTAACACCCTTTGCTCATCACATCAGGTGCCCTCCTTAATGCCCATCACCCGGTTACCCCATCCCCAAAGCACAGCAAAGGAAACAGTCGACAAAACCAAAAGACAACCTACAGAATGGGAGGTGTTTGCAAATGTCTTATCAGATAAAGGGCTAGTATCCAAAATCTATAAAGAACTTATCAAACTCAACACCCGAAAAACAAAGAATCCAGTCAAGAAATGGGCAGAAGACATGAACAGATATTTCTTCAAAGAAGACATACAAACGGCCAATGGACACATGAAAAAATGCTCAGCATCACTCCGCATCAGGGAAATACCAATCAAAACCACAATGAGATACCACCTCACACCAGTTGGAATGGCTAAAATCAACAGCACAAGAAACAACAGTTGTTGGCGAGGATGCGGAGAAAGGAAAAACCTCCTACACTGTTGGCGGGAATGCAAGCTGGAGCAGGCACTCTGGAAAACGGTATCTAGGTTCCTCAAGACATTAAAACTAGAGCTACCCTATGATCCAGCAATTCCACTTCTGGGTATGTACCTAAAGGAGTTGAAAACAAGGTCGGGAAAAGATACCTGTACATCCATGTCCACGGCAGCATTGTTCGCGATAGCTAAAAATGTGAAGCAAAGTAAGCAAAGCAAATCAACAGATGAATTGATGAGAAAAATGTGGCCTGTACACACAATGGAGTATTAATTAGTCTTTAAAAAGAAGGGAATGCTACAACATGGATGAATCTTGAGAACTTTAGGCTAAGTAAAATCAGCCAGTCCCACAAGGGCAAATATTGTGTAATCCAGTTACACGAGGTTCTTAGAGTAGTCAACAGAAAGTAGAACAGTGATGCGGGGGTTTCAGGAATTAATGTTTAATGGGTGCAGAATGTCAGTTTTACAAGATAAAAAGAGTTCTGGAGATGGATGGTGGGGATGGTTGCACACCATTATCAATTACTACAAATTATTAATAATCTATGGTAGCATTAAATTATGTTAATTTAATAAATTATCAATACCACTGAACTGTACACTTAAAATGGTTAAGATGGCAAATTTTAGGTTATCTGTATTTTATCACAATAAAAAAAAAAGATTAACAAAAGGAACAGCCATAGCGCAAAACCTTGAGCTGTTCACTATCTCAGGTTCCACATCACCAAAAAGCATGAAGATGGAGGACAGTACACGTCTTCTTCAAGCTTCGGGCCTGTGATAGACTGTTCTAGATGAAGTGGGTACGTATGGCTTCCTAAGCTGTTAGGACAAATCAGAGTTTGCTGAGAAACTTCATTCCGAAGTTATGGTAATTACTGTGTTTCCAAGGGTCCGCTTGGAGCATTTGTTCCTAATGCAACTAGAAATGTTACACCCTCATCCGCACTGCGCGATATGCTGGGTGTGCATTTGTTCACGCTTGGAGATGTGTGTGGCAGAAGGGCCTGGACCCACGTGATGGAGATGTGGGCTCTGAGGCCTAACTGGGGGTGCAGCTGTAAGCAGGGAACTCAGAAGAACAGAGAGAAGGCGTTTGCCGTCCTGGGGGGACAGCCTGGGGTGCTCGGGGACCAGCCACGGATCACCACCGGGAACTCCTTAAAAATGCAAGACCTCAAGATGCACCTGGACCCACATCACATCACAGCAGACTTTCCCTGATTCTCCAAATGCATCTATTTAACCAGAAATTCTGGGCCTGGTGTCCAGCAAATACACTTAAACAGGCCTCCAGGTTGACTAAAGTTCACGTTTGGGAACCCCGCACTGGTGCTGGAGCCCAAGCATCAGGGCTGAGGAGGGGGGGGGCGGGGACCCCACCTACCTGGGCACAGGGGTGTGGCCCAGCCGGCAAACAGCCGCCCCTGCTCAGAGGCAGAAAGCCTGCAGAGGCAGTGTGCTTGGTGAGCAGTGTGAGCGCAGGGTGAGAATTTTCTAGATGGGAGCAGTGTGGCTGGGGACAGATTAGACTGGATCACACAGGGACTTGCCGCTGGGGGAGGAATTTGGGTTTTACCCTCCAGGCATTGGAGACCAATGGAAAGGTTTTAAACCAAGGAATAACACAGTCCAGTGAGGCCCTGAGGAGGGCAGTGGTGGGGACGGTCGAGACCATGGGGTATAGTGGGGAGAGACCGGGGGCCAGGCAAGCAGCCAGAAATCTGGGCGGGAGCCGGTGGGGGCCCAGAATGACGCATCAACCCCAGGGACAGAATTTGACAGGAGCTAGTGGCCAGTCCTCTCCCTTCCTGCTGCCACCCCCCCCACCCTGCCTCAGCTGTGACCCTGGTGTCCCCGACAGTTTCCAGTGATGTCATCACCTGAGTTCCTCCCTCTGTCACGGGACCCAGACACCCCATTCACAAAACCAGGTGGACTACATTCCCCATGGCTCTTTATTTCTTAGAAACGAGACCTAAACCCCCAGCTAGACCAGAAGAGGCTCCTGCTGTCCGGCCCCTACCTCACTGTCCCCAGCATGGACCCACCATTTCAGTGGCCACTTCCTGCCCCATCGGCCCCACACGTGCTCTCTTCAGCCCTGCTCCCGTCTGCCTGCCCAAGGTGCGTGCACCCCTTCTTTGCTGGGAGCCCTCCCTGACCACACTGTCCTCGGGCCCCAGACTCATTCCACCACGATCCACAGCTCAATTTGACACGATTTTCTTTCTGCTTAAACTTTTCATGAGCATATGGTTTCTCTCCCCAGCTGAGCCCTGGGCTTCTGGAGAAAGTCTTTCCTTTGCTTCCTTTCCTTCATGCCTTCTGTCTCCAGCAGGTGGTAAAAACCCAACGAAAACGTGCATTGACCCAGTGAAGGCTTCCGGGAGGGTAGGAAGAGGGAGAACAGATGATTCGGGACTGAAAGGAAAGCTACCCTCCCTGGTGTTTGCAGTCCTGACCTTCTCTGTTGTTGTTGGGTTTTTTCCTTAACATTATGCTTGTGTCAGAGATCACAGCTTCAAAGACTCAGTAAGAAATCAGTTCACTCCAGGATTCCAAATCATGAAAAAGGAACACGTTTCCTTAAGTGTCTTTCCTGGGCCCTCGGAACCATGAATAAACCCGTTTCAAAGAGGACCTCCGTCCACTCTGGCCGCAGACGTGTTGGCCAGAGATCAGAGCGAGGCTCGTCATCGGCATAGCCAGAGTCCTAGGGAGGCCCTTACGGAGGGAGCTTTTCAGGTGACTTTAAAGATGCATCTTGCTCCGATTCAGGAGCAGATAAATTAGGATACCCCTCCCCCATTTTTCTTAACTTGGACAAGACAGACGTTCACAGTCCCAGACGGCCTTGGTGGGCACAACTGTCCCTGCCGTGAGCAGGTGTAGTAATCACCCTTGTTCCTGCTTGTGAGGACGCCGAGGGGGGACCTGGGTGCATGAGTGAGAACTGCTGTGTGAAAACCCCAGGTCCACGGCGCCCGAGTGTGTGTGCCTGGGGAGTGGTTTCATTTTCCCGTTTGCTACACGACTCTTCAGGTGGTAAAGGATGGGGACCCATGTCACCTTCCAGGCAACTTTCGTAAGCCGGGAGCGTGGGCTGAGGTTTCTAGGATGGGAAACACAATGACACGGGAACGTTTCCGAACTTCTCTTGTGTTGATTCCTTTGTCTCGACTGTAGGATGGTCGCCCAGCCAGACTGTGACACCTTCCTGTCACGCTCCAGCCCCCTGTCTTGTCCCCGGGGAAGCCCCCTTTTCTTTCCTTGTTCCGCCCTGTGCCTGCCCCAGTTGCAGAGACACATAAAGTTCCACATTCTGTGACCATGACGAGGAGAGTCTTCTCATTTCCTTATGCTCTAAAGCAAGGACAGCATGATGCCTTGCAGCACACATTTGTTGAGTCGATTAATTCCCATCCCAAGAAGTCCTGGGGTGGAAGATGCAGGTCAGGGTTAGTGCCAGACCTTGCAGGGCCCAAAGCAGACCCCAGCAAGCCTGTCCGGTCCAGGCTCCCATCCCGCCACCCCGATCCCGCCCACATGTGGGCAGAGTGGGCCTCTGGCCGGCTTTGCAGAGCAGGATCACCCACCGTCGCATCTGGGTTGGACCTGATGACAGCAGCATGGGGTCTGAGCTCGGGGGCTCTGATGCCTAGATAGGGCAGCCTGTTCTAGAATGCTGGGTGTCTGTCACCGATCGGCCAGGAAAAGGGTGTGGGGCATCCCGTTGAAGCTGTCACAGTCTGGCTCTGCACCCCAGGCCCTTGCTCTTCCTCAGGCATTAGGATGCCGCGTCCACTGCTCTATCGAAGGAGCGGGAAGCCTTCCGCCGAGACCAGGTGCTGCTGCAGGAGGGCCGACCTGTCTGCCCTCCGCCTCCCGGAAGCCCTGAGGCAGCCGGGGCCCCCACCTGCTGCTCCAGACGCATGTTTTCCTCGCCTCGGACTTCACAGATATTGTGCCAGGTGAGAAAAGCCCACCCCTGGGCACGGACCGCCTGACTTCTCAAGGGGAGCACAGAGGAACGCCCGAGTAAGTAAATCCGGGCATTCGATGATTTCCCCTGTTAGGGAGAAAGAGGGCAGCCCGCACTCACCAGCACAAGACGATGGTTTGAATCGGCTTTTGTTTGGGGCTGGCTGCTTTGGTGGGGGTCAGTCCACACAGTAGAAATTGGAGATGGTCACATTTCCCTGGGAACACCTTGGGAAGGGACCCCACACGGCTCCTTCGTAGGATCTGTGCACCTGTTTCTCCTGTGTCCTCAAGTCACCGGCCTGACGGACGCAGCCAGAGGCTTGAGCCCAAGAGCCTCGTAGAGACTGAGAACAGCTCTGGCCCAGTGAACGTGTGTCCCACCCGCGTCTCCTCCGGTGAAGACTCTCTGTGTCTCGTTTTCTCTTGGTCATGTCTTGATTCTCTCCCAGCACCCTGCTCCTCCTTTTTCCGAGTGTCCACATTTACGTGTGCTTACATGAAACGCGCGGAAGTCGTGAGAGCACTGTCCTTCTGGTCGTCCCTGTGGTGGGGCCCGGCACAGCTTGTGTTCTTGTTTTATTGCTGTGCCTAAATCTCCTTCCTAGGACTTGAACAGCAAAGCGCATTTGGGAGGGAATGTACCATGGTCAAGGCCATCTAACTGCTTCGTCATTGACAGAGCTTCGGCAGGAGGGCTTAGAGGATCAGGGGCTCGGCCACTTTTCCTAAAGGGCGGACAAGGGAAGAGCCCTGCTCCCTTGCTGGGGAGGAGCGCCCACTGCATCATGCAGAGAAAATATCTCCCGCACGTCCTTGTTGCTTCCTATGCGTAGGCGTGCGTGTCTGTAAACAGAGTTGTGTTATCCACCCATTCGGGTGCTTGGTTAGGGATGCCCTTGGGGAAGCCAGGTTTTATGGAGAGGTTAGGCGCCCCACAAACACCGCTGTTGTCCGCTTCCCCTCCAGGTGTGAGCACGCTGTGCCCCTGGTCCGCACTGGCCTGGGCCCTGGTGTGCCATGCTTGCTGCGTGGGCTTCATGAAGCCGGTCAGCTCCTCACGCCATGGGCCACCCTCTTCTACCAGCAGCCCTGGAGGATGGGCATGTTGGGGGCCCGTGTCCGAAGCCTGGTTCTCTTCTTCAGAGCTTACCACGTCTGGGTTTTGGTTTCTGGAGGCAAGCAGGCTGTCAGTGGCTGCGTAACAAAGCACCCCAGACCTTGATGCCTTAAAATCACCACCATCAGCCATGGGGCCCACCAACCTCGGTTCTGGGGGGCTCACTGGGCACCTGGGGGGGTTTCTTGGCAGGGGGTGGGGGATGCAGTAGGATGGCGGGCGCAGTAGGACGGCAGGTGTCTGGATCCATAAGGAGGCTCCACTGGGCTGGCCGTACAGACGGCATCTTTGCTTACATGCCTGGCACCCCGGGGCGCCCCCATTCTCCTCAACAGAGCAGCTGGGGCTGTGGACATGGCAGCTGGGAATTCTGAGAGAAAGCAAACAGAAGCTGTCAGTCCTCTTAAAACTGGCCTGGCCCTGGGTCAGCGTGGCTTCTGCTGTATTCTACGTGTCCAAGTAGTCACGGCCAGTCCAGAGTCAGAATGTGGAGGAACGGACTCCATCCCCCATGCGCGTCCAGGGAGGGGAGGAGCGTAGGGTGCCTCTCTTTGCAGACACACTCTCTTAGCTTAGGGAGCCCAGCCCCAACACCCGGCCACGTCCGGAGCACAGCTGCAATTGTGCTCACAATACACGACACAGGCCGTGTTCTGTATCACAGGCTGAAATCTCTTCTGTCGACAAACAGGCATAGGGTCCTGCCTGTCCCGACCCGATACAAAATATACAGTACATACTATGATGTCACGCACAGCTTCTGAAAGCCCTCCATTTCTTCTGAATGCTGGCTTTTGGACCTCTTCTCTGTTTCCAGTAGGGCACCTGCACTGAGCCAAGCCCCGCCCCCAGCCCTCGGTATAGACGCATGCGGATGAGAGTGGTCTGTGTGACTCTCGGGGTCTGTGTGACTCTGCAGGAGTCCTGCAGGGGCCTGGGTGTCCCTGCCAAGGAGAGGTGTCTCTTCTGGCCATCAGCGAATACACTCGGCAACTCACGTTTTAGGGAATAGGAGGCATTGAGAAATATTTAGACTTGAGCCTTACTACACATGTTGGCAGAACGGAGAAAATTTTTTGAAAGAAATTGCGCTCCTAAAGAAAGATTAACTGTTTTATTCATTTAAAAGAATTTGCTCATTTTCTATGTACAGAGTGCATGGGTGCGTGTGTGTACTTGTGCACACATAGCTGTGGAAGAAGGAACAGCTTAGTCTTAGGAAAGCTTCTAAAAGGAGCTATTATCTTGAACAGAGATGACAAGCTCTGAAAATGGTACTGGGACGTCCAGTTGTTTGCATGGTGGTCACTGTGGCAAGAACTGTGTTTTGTAGACGCTCTCTACGTCTGCTAGCTAGCATCACAGCTCAGCTGTTACGTCACATACATGGTGTCCTCGTTAATCAGCTCCGTCATTACTGGGTTCCAGGCATGGCCCCAGACCATGCGGAAGCCACGAAGGTGACAGGAGGCCTGTCTTCAGGCTGCTTCTAGTCCAGTAGGGGGATAAGCTCCATACCCAGATAACCAAACAAGGAGGCAGAATGTGGGTAAATCCTAGGAGACGAGATTGTCTGAATTCACAAGGACGATGAGGATCACTGCCTGCCGGGATGACCAGAGATGCTTTGGACTAGAAGGTGGAAGCCAGGCTGCGTCGCCAAGAGCGGGGGAGAGAAAAGGTAGCCGGCACTGCAGAGCACAGATTTTGGGATCAGGCAGCTTGCTTTGGGACTGTGGCTCGCCCTTCACTGTTACCAGCCCACTCGGCCAGGGACTGGAACGCTCCACATCTGTTTTTCTGTCACACATTAAGCACAAGACCTCTTGGTGTTGCTGTGACGATTATATAAGATCCATCTACTTCCCAGGGCCCCCTTTGAAGAGTAAATAAGTAACTTGGTGCACAAGAACCAGCGCCTCGTGGCCATTATTGATGATGAAAGGGGGGAGAGACTTTCAGGGGAGCAGACCCTGCAGGACGGAGCCATGAGCAAATGGAAGGGGCAGGAGGGGCAGCTCCTGTCCAGGAGAGGCGGGTGGCATGGTCACCTCCTGCTTTTAGGAGAGCCCCAAATGGCTGATCAACCCCACAAGCCATGGGGCCCCCAGACCGTGAGGATGTGTGGTGGTGGACACATTATGGAGCCTCTGCAAGCCTCGATTTCCACGTCTGAGAGCCAGGAGTAAGGGTGCCCATCTCGCTGTGCGGGAGGCTGAGGAACACGCAGGGTCCGGCCCCGCTTGGGGGTGCCGCAGCTTCCGGCCCGCTCCGCGCACGCGAATAAAGGGGAGTTGGCGTTTGCAGAGCAGGGTGTCCCCCTACCAGTGTGCCTGACGAGCTGGAGGGACACGTGGAGAGGGTTTCCATTTGCCGTCTGTCACTGTCCTATGCCCAGGAGTCTGAGAGGCCGTTACGGGAGGAAGGGAAACAAAACTTTGTCCTTCCCAGCCACTCACTCGGTCGCGAGAACCCAGAGGTCAGAGCAGGTAAGTGGGAAGGAGAGAAACCGGACTGCACCGGAGTGCAGGCGTGCCGTACGGCCCTCGCCCGGGTGACTTGCAGACTCCTTCAGGCTCCGCTCGGCCTAATGGGGTGCTGAGGGTGCTCATCAGAGCCGGGGACTCCACTCACGGAGGTGACCTGCCACGTCCAGGGTCACCAGCCGGCCGGCGATGTTACCTAGGCCGGGCCCTGATCCCTGGGTGTCTGGTCCAAGCCTCCTGCCAACACCCTGTAAATGTCAGGCCTGCCACACTGCCCTTTCATGCACCTCCCCCCTCCCCAGCGGGCACCTTCCCTGGAAGACGCAGGAGCCCTGACCCAGAGAGAAAGTGACTCCTTTGGGGTGAATTGTGTTGTGTTGGCAAAGAGAAAGTTGTTGTTATTGTTCCAAAAGCCAAAAGACCACAGAGTATTTAGAAATCCACTTTCTAAGGAGGATGGGCCTGGGGGCTTGGAGTAGCTCCGTTTTTTAATGGTTAATGGCTTTGCTTAAATAATGGAAACCGTGCCCCCAAGGTCAAAGCAGGAACTTCTGGACTTCCTCTTTCATTGATTCACTCAACAGAAGTATGAAGCATTTGTAGTCTTGTAGGTTCTGTGCTAGGACTTGTTCCTACTCTCCTGTGACCTCTTGTTCTCGTCTTCAGGTCCTGGGAGTACCAACAGAATCATTAGTAATAGCTAACATTTTGGGCAGGATCATCATGCATTGGACACTGTTCTAAGCTCATTAACTGTCTAATTTCTCACAGCACTCAATGAGACGAAACCCATTTTACAGGTACAGAAACTGAGGCATGGAAAGTCAGGCATCTGGGCAGACAGAGGCGATATTCAGATCCAGCTGGTCTGATGCTACGAGCCTAGCCATAACCAGCAAGCCACACGGCCGGGCGGTGGAGCTGAGAGCGTTTGAGCTGGGGGGGCCTCGGGGCCTCCGTGCCCCCACTTCTCAGCCTGTCGGAGGCACGCAGGGGCCTTGCCAGGGATGCAGGCCCAACAGGTCTGAGGGGGACCCTGGAATTGGTGTTTTGGAAGCGGGGTCAGGTGGTGCTGATGGCCAGCCTAACTGAGAACGCCTCGCCTTCCCTTCCCTTCCAGAGGAGGCAGCCGGCCTCTGGATGATTTGTGAATGCCCTGCAAAGCCAGGTTTGACGTCTTCCACTTGTTACCAGCTCACTCACTTAAGCATGCACATACAGCTTCCTCCGCGTGCTGGAAATGGACTCAGAGGCCGGCATGTGGGCAGGTGGAGCCTCAGGGGCCCCAAAGACACAGACCCATGAACGCAAGCTCACGCAAGCTCTGTGGCGGAGACCACCCCGCAGGAACACAAGAGGCCGAGACAGAGTGTCCCGAGAAGGCTTTACAAAAGGGGGCATTCGAGCTGGTCTCGGGGGATGAGCCCGGGGGGGAAAAAAGGGGGGGGGGGGGGGCGGGGGCATTTCAGGCAAAGCTGCAGAAACAAGACAGAGTGACAGGGAGCCCGCGGGAAAGTAGCGTGGGTGGCATTGGAGATGAGCAGAGCCAGACTACTGGTTAAAGGTGATGAAACAGAGCTTATTAAGTCGGTTGCAACAGCAAAGAACTGACCTCAATCTCAGTTTGTGGGGCGGTGGCTGGGCGTTTTTAAGGGAGGATGGGGGCGTGGACTGGGGGGGACATCGGACGTTTGAACAGGGTCAGGGAGATGGAAATTTATCAACAGCGGGAAAGGGGGTGGTTCAGGTGACTCTGCCATCTGATCGGGAGGAGGAGCTCACTTCTCACATCCTGATGACAGGGGCAGTGTTCATGCAAGTTAGAGCAGGCTGCCCTCCCACCCCTAGGCCGGGAGGGTGTTCTTGAGCGTTGGTGCTTCAAAGAGACAGCTCACGGGTCCTTGAGGAGGCAGTTCTGGGTGGCAGAGGATTTACACCTCAGAGACGCAGAGACGGGGATTTGTACGTGCAAGCTTTCCAAAGTAACTCATCTCAGAGGGGGTTCACAGCCTCTCTGCCTTTCAGCAGATTTTGGCTGGAATAGAGAGTAAATCTTCCTGGCAGTGTTAGGTTTCTTAGGCAGAAACTGAACTGGGGCCAGCTCATCACCCTAAGGATGAAGCCTTGAGCTGTTAGGAGCTGTGGGAGTGTTTGTTCAAGTCTCTTAACGTGTGTGGGGGGAGGGGTGGTTGACAAAGGCATTTGTACTACATGTCTGCAATTTGTATAGGCCAGGCTTAAGGCTGAGCAAGAGCAGGGCTTCGAGATGCCGATCTGAGTCAGGTTTGGTCAAGGAGAGAGTCTTTGTTGGTGGTGGTGTTGTGTCAGTCAAGGTTCTCCAGGGAAACAGAACCAATAGGCTATATAGACATGCGTGAGAGGAGATTTATTATGGGAATTGGCTCACACAATTTTGGAGGCTGAGGTAGGGCACAGTATGCCTTCCGCAAGCAGGAGAACCAGGAAAATGTGGGGTAATTCAGTCCGAGTCCACAAGACCGAGAACTAGGAGCTCGGATGTCCAAGGAAAGGAAAAGATGGATGTCTCAGCTCAAGAAAAGAGAGAATTGCCCTTTCTCCACTTTTTTGTTCTATTCAGACCCTCCACAGATTGGACGAGGCCCGCCTGCCCTGGTGAGGGGGTAAGGGTGAGGTTCTTTACTCAGTCTACTGATTGAAGTGCCAACCTCTTCTGGAAACCCTCACAGACACACTCCAAAATAACATTTTACCAGCACCCGGGCATCCCTTAGCCCAGGCAGGTTGGCCCATCCCGGTAGCCAGCACGGTGACTATGGGAGCGCAGGTTGGAAGATGACTCTGCAAAGGAAGACTAGGGATGCATTGTCAACAGGATTGCCCGCCTTGTCAAGGAGTGGGGTCTTGACGCCCCTCAGGTGAGATGGGGCTACTTCCAAGTGTGTTAGGGAGGGATGACAAGGTCTGATCTGCAGGTGAAACAGATCACCTGGCTGCAGTGTGGAGGAGAGACCGTGGACAGGGAAGGAAGACAGAGGAAACCATAGGACCCAGACAGGAAGCAATAGGCTCAGAACCGCCATGAAAACGGCTGTTAAGGACAGGAAAAACGCAATGCATTTGAGACAAACTTAAGAATTTGACTCAACAGGACCAGATAGCTGATAAGATGCAGTTAATTTAAGGAGAGAGAGAAACTCCAAGTTTTGTGGCATTCAGTCCTGAAATAATACCTGCTGGACCTTTGAAACAGTGCCGCCCAGAGCCCGGAGGCCTGGGGAGAGTGGGCGTTCTCAGGATTGTTAAGTAGCTCTTCATAATGCTTTCAATTCTCTCCTTATTTGACTTTCCTCGAGTTAAAATGGTGCCCATGAATGACCACGGCAAAGCTTTCTAAGACTTTTGGCCCAACAGTATTACCTCATACACGGTATTTAAATATACCATCTTCTAATCATGTCCAATTTGTTTACTTATCCTAAGAAATATATTTTTTATATATAAAAACTAGAAACCAGGGGCACCTGGGTGGTTCCACAGGTTAGTGTCCGCCTCTTGGGTTTCGGGTTGGGTCATGATCTTGTGGTTGTGGGATCGAGCCCCACGTCAGGCTCTGCACTCAGCATGGAGTCTGCTTCAGATTCTCTCTCCCTCTCTCCCCCTGCTCTCTCTCTCTCTCTCTCTCTCAAATAAATAAATAAAATCTTAAAAACAAACAAACAAACAAACTGGAAACCAAAGTTAAGAAGCCCGCCTGGGTGAGGGGTACAAAAAGCCTTCTGTAGAAGCTGCCGCCATTTTGGACCGTGGAGGAAGGCCCCATGTTCAGCCATCAGGAGTGCTGTTACCTCAGGCCACAGGCCAACTCTACCTTTAAAGAGGCATATAATCGACAAAGCAATACTTTACAAAGTTGTTTGTAAAAGTTTGGGACACTAGTTTACTGGAATTCAGCGGCACTATGAGCCCTACAGATACTTTGAATTATTGCATCATAAAACTAATACATGTGTACAGTTCACATGAGAATATGAAATGTATAAAGTTGGAAATAAAAGTCTCCTTTCTCAGCCCCACCTGACTCAGCAGAGAACCACCATAACCATGTGGACTATGCCCTTCTATTCCCTGTGCATTTATGATTCTGCAGATATTTTAATAAACTGCACTGAGAACCGGGAGAATCCCTCTTTGCCAGAGAAGCTCTTTCAGACCTTGACCCTGCCTCTAGCGGGGCCCAGTCAGCCGTGGGCCCCCCAGTGGGCATTGAGGACAAAGCCTCCAACACTGAAGGACACTGCGGCAGAATTTAGGATGGGCGTGTCCCTGAGGCCATGTGCACCTGACTAGGGGTGGTGACTCTCCTTTTGGTCCCGTAGATTATGCTCCTGGAGAAAATCCTCCTTTTGCTGTTGTCTACTGCCTTTCTCCAGGGGGCCTCCCAGACCAGCCTGTGGACCGTAGCTGGAGTCTTGTCTGGATTTCTCATTGGTAAGGCCCAACGTTGCCTTATTGTTCCCTCCCTCCCCAACCCCAACTTGTTTCTTCAAGATGCCCTAACTCTAAGAGCAGGAATCTGCTCAGGAGCGGTTAGGTGGAGAGCAAGGACTGGAGCTCATTGGACTGCCAGTGGTCCCCACCAGGGCATCACAAGTGGAACCCAAGCAAATCTGGACTCAACCTGTCCACTTCTATCAGTAAGGACTCGTGGGCGGGGCTCCCTCCCTGGGGTTCTGGTTGGAGTCAAACATAAGTCTTCCCCGTCCCTCCCCGCTCAGCATCCTAGCACTGGGGGAGCAGAGCAAGGACCCCCAGACATGACACCACGTGCTATTGACCAACAAGAACCCTGGGACGTGGGTGCTGAATTCCCCCCAATTCAGAGCTGAGGAAGGTGGCACAGAGCAAGTCAGGTAATGTCCCGTAAGATCAGACATTCTGTAGGTGGTGGAGCTGGGATTCACACCCCGCTCCAATCTGGCATCTGGGACAGTGCCTGGCAGTTTTAGGTCATTAGCTTGGTTTTATGAACAAATGACCCCGAGTGCGCCATGCCCACTGTGTTAACTTTGCTTAACAGATGAATGTAAGCTTGAGAGGGCATTCCTCCCTACACTTGGGAAATAAAAATAAAAGTGGGAGGGCCATTCTCAGTGACCCGGGGCATGGTGAGCGGGGAGCCGGGGGCAAGGGTCAGCTCCCAGCCTGAGGGGCTCAGACAGACCCAGCTGCTGATCCTTCTCCCCCTCTTTCTGGAGCTGCCCAAACCCCTGATTCCCAAGTGGCCCTGGAGGGAGTCCTTAGCAGGAAGATGGTGGGTGAGCTATCGGCAAAGGCATACAAGCTCTGAAGCAGGCAGCTCTGGCTGACATCTTGAGCTCCCCTGACCAACATTTATTGAGTACCTACTGCATGCCAGATTGGGTTTGCAACCCAGAACCTTATGAATGATGTGGCCTCATGGAAAGTTTACTCATTAAATGCAGGTACTTTGGACTTGCCTGAGGAGGGGGGCTAGTTCCCCTTTTTGACCTTGGGTGGCTCATTATCAAAGAGGGGTGACATCATTGTGAGAATTCTGAATAATGTGTAGAAGTGGCTTGAGGGGTGCCCACCACAGAGCCACCACTCCTCCCACAGGAATGCTGTCTCCACTCCCCCACTGGAGGCCCGCTTTGTGACCCCGCACGCTTCATCCCCCAAAAGTAGGAGAGGATCCAAGGAGTCCTTTGTCGGCCCCCCCAGCTCCCCCACACCGCAGTCTGCCAGACCCTCGGGCGCTTCTCCCTGCTTCTACTTCAGGTTTCTTGCTGTTTATAACGAGCGCCTTGAAACCAGGCACTTGATCTAGTACAACAGGAAACTGGAAATAACGTGGGAGGTTACTGGAATGCTCTGTGAAAGAAATTATTGCCGTAGTCAACACTTCTGATCAAAATAAATTAAACTGACAACAATGTGATTAAGATGTTTATGCACAAAGGAAGTGTTGTTGCTGCGCATGGAAATTCCTTGAGATGGGGTTTTTGATGGATTTGTTTAACCTTTGCTTGGGTCTTGTGTTTGAGGTTATTCCTTTCCTCCCCCTCCCCTAGTTTTGGAGTCCATCTGCTGGTGTGTGGATGGTTGCATTCTGAGCATTTGATCCAGTTATTTGAAAGTAAAATGAGCATTTCTACCGGACATCACACACACACAGGCAAACACATGCATATTTGCGTGCACGCGCACACACACACATCCGGAGTGCTCAGTTAGGGCTGCCCTAGAGAAAGAAGCCATAGTATCAATAGGATTAAACTTTGTTATTACGTTTTTCAGTTTAGAAACATTTGCAGCTTGTGGAAGCTGAGGCCTCCTTAACCTCCCCCGGAATATCCAGCTCTGATACTCCAACAACAGTCCTGTTTGGGATCCCAATTATATTCCCCTATTCGGAATTCCAGAGTCTGGAGTTCTCAGACTATGGAGAAAATGCAGGACTTCAAGGAACATAACCTTGTGCTCTTCTTTTTCTGCTTCTTTCTCAGGCAGTGTCCCGCCAACTCATTATAGCCTGCTACACCCTCGACCCACAGGCATCTGGCAGAGTTGTGTCCGTCCAGGACTCGTGTGGCGTCCAGGGGCTGATAAGGCAGAGACAGAATCTTCTCCCGGGCCCCAGCTCCAGCTGGGGAGAGGCCGGGGAGCCCGGGCACACGCCAGGAGAAAAGCCACAAATTCGCTCACCGTGGGGACCCCCAGAGGCTGGGCTGGAAAGCCAGACTGCTCTGGAGGATTGTTTCCTCAGTCATCATCACTGGCTGTTGGTGAAACTTGCCCTAAAAACAGGAAATGGTTCTAAGATCAATGCAGCCTTTGGAGAAGAGTCCTGGCTGCTTTCGTCCCCCTTCGTGGGGGCTGAACCGGCACTACACCCAGCAGAGGACACCCCTGTTTCCCCAGCAAGACCTCCCACTGTCACCCCAGGACCCCCTGTCCTCGGAGAAAGGCTCTGAGTTTCAAGGTGCCCTGAACTCGGAAGCGGACCTGTTGGAAACCTCCAGTTTGGTCTCTTTTGACAGCGACAGCCAAGACCCAGCTCCTGCCCAGAAGGAGTCAGCCGCACGGAGCGAGCACAGCCTGAGGGAAGGAGCAGGGGTGCGGTGGGCGGTGGGCGGAGAGGAGGGGGAGGTCAGGAGAGCTGTACGCTGTACTTCAGTGCCACGGCCAAGGGGACCGCAGCCGCACCCCAGGAAGGCAGGCAGGCAGGTGACTCCGCAGACACCCCACCCTGGGAGGAGGGCAGAGCCCTGCCCTCGGCCGGCCACGTGGCCCTTCCCTGCCACCATGGCCGAAAGCAGCCCGATCCTAGGCCCGGGCCCTTCCGGAAGCTTCCACCACGGCGCAGGCTTGGTTGGCAGAGGCCCCTGCAGCTCAGAGCGTGAGGCACAGCAAGAGTCCACAAGGGATTGGAACCTTCCTGCCACTCTGGGACACGGATGTCACTGCCAAAGGGGAGCCTGCGGCCCGCAGACGAGCCTTGCCCCACATCCACTCCCAAGTGTGAGGCTGCCCACGGGGACTGCGGCTGGAGGGCCCGGCTAAAGGCCAAGCCGACTTTCTTCATCTGACCACAGACCAGCAACGCAAGCTGGTCCCTGGGCTGTGGGCGGGAGAATCCCATTTCCGACACCGGTACCCCCAATGCACCCCCGTCTGGACCTCAGTTTGCACAACCGAAGCCTAAGGGGACTGCAGCGGATTATTTCTAAGCTCCAGGGAGAACAGTACATGCACACGTATGTATAGGACACACTTTCCCTTCACAGTGTGGCGGGGGGCTTCCAGTCACAATCACCTGATTCCTTTCACGAACTATATGATCCCTGTTTTATTTTATTTATTTACTTTTAAAGATTTTTTATTTATTTATTTGACACAGAGAGACAGAGCAGGAGAGAGAACACAAGCAGGGGGAGTGGGAGAGGGAGAAGCAGGCTTCCCACTGAGCAGGGAGCCCGACACGGGGCTCGATCCCAGGACCCTGGGACCATGACCTGAGCCGAAGGCAGACGCTTAACGACTGAGCCACCCAGGCGCCCCTATTTTATTTTATTTTAATATTTTTGTTGCTATAGCTTCTAGGAAACGCAAAGGTAAAGCCCAGAGTTCTGTTGGATTCTGGGTTCTTGTTACAGTTGGCTTCTGCTGACACTGAGGGTTATTAATCTCTGGAAAATGTATTTTTCCTGCCTTATTTTATGAAAGCTCATGGGAAGATGATGCACCCCCTTTCTGGAAGCAGATAGGAAAGCTGTGCTTCTAAATCATCAACATAACTGAAAATGCAAATGTCATCCTGAGAATCCCCTGGCAGAAAAAAATTATATACATATATATATATTTTTTTTTTTTTTTTTTGGCTAAATACACAGCCCTCCTTCCCGCAGGTCAGCCGGCCGTCGACTTGGAGTCAGGTGGCTCCTCTCCACCCCTGACCTCACACTTCATTACTGTACTCCCTCCTCCGCTCCATGTGAGATGCTACTTGTGATCTCAGCTTCCCCCCTACAACGGGTTCTTGGTGGACAGGCATTTCCAACGTCTCTGGAAGCCTTCCTTCAGAGCTGGTTAAAAAAGTGCGGTCAGAAGCCACAGGAGCAGAAGGCAGAGCCCGGGTGGAGGGCTGGGCGCTGTCCACGGGCGGTCCGTTCTACCTTTCCCAAACACCTCTGGGTTCAGGGGCAAGAGTCAAGCCCCAGAGAGGAAGTGTGGTGCAACTTCGCAGTGAGCTGTCAGACCATCATTGTCCCTGTTGCTGGCCACAGACGCCAAGGGCAGATAGCAGACAGCGGCTCTGAACTTCAGTGCAAGTACCTGTAAGAGCCCCCACACCACTGCCTGGCGGAAGGAGTGTCAGAGACAGAGCTGGGCAGAAGCGAAAGCAATAAAAGCAGATGATATCCAGGACCGTTGCAATAGGGGTTAAGAGAAAAGTCTACACCTGGACTCCACTCTGGATACAGCATGGACAAGAGGGAACTGAGGGTCAAGGAGCAGAGTGGGGTCAGTGGATGGAAATGTACCGAGGGGAAGCCTGAGGGGTAAGGGAAAGACTGGCTAAACCAACCTAACAGGGCTCCCGCTGAAGGCGGGCCAGGTGGTCCGACCTCACCTGGGGCCAGTGGGGCCTGGGGAATTTGACCAGATACAGAAGGTGATGAGACCTTGAGCGTGGAGGATTCTGCTAATATTGACTCAGCAGGATTCTTGCTAAAACGGGACAAAGCAGAGAGAAGTGTGGAAGTGGACCTCATTGGAAAGTTCAGGGGAGACCTGAGCAGGGTTTGGTCAAGGGGATACTCTGTTAAGAAGGTGTGGGCTGTGGCATTGGCGACTCTGCCCAGGACAGTAGAAGGCGCTTCTCTGGGCCAGGACCCTCCCGAAGGCTCACCAGGGACCGAATGCCCTTGCACCCTTGAAGAAATGGTTACTGGACAAATGGTTCCACTTCTCTACACTACCTGTCTTCATCTTTGTGCTCGGGATGTGTGGGGCACAAGTATGACATTTTTAGAGGGAAAGGCCAAAGCCCTTCAGGTCAAGAGCACCAGGCGCCACATAGACTTGAACCAGCTGGGTTTGTGACCCTTCGCAGCCAGGGGGAGTGTCCCCCGTGGGGGCGGCTCAGTGAGAGGTGGGAGAAAGGGCTCAGAGGAATATGGGCACCAGACCAGCTCCCACACGTCAGAGGCTACTCCTTTCCTCCCTAGAATATTAGGAGTAGCTTAACCGCTGCTTGTTAAGCTCAGCATTCTATACTGGATCTATTGGATTGTCATCACTGCCTCCGTAAGTGCCCAAAAGCCAGAGCTTCAAAACACATGTATCGCTCCCATGGCTTGGCTTCGAGGGTATTTACCTTATATCTGCTGTTGCACCTGCCCATGTGGTTTTCTTGATTTCTCTAAGGATAGTTCACTTCCTTAGTGAAGTGAACTATGAAGCCACAGAGGATGCAAGAAAGGGACTGACTACCAGTATCCTTAAACACTACAGACCAGACAAATACTACCTTCACTGCTGTTTCTAAAAAGCAGGGAACCCCGGGCTCTCCAGAACCTGTGGGAAACAAGGGTCGATTCTCCTGTTTCTACAGCGAATGTATGCTGCTTGCGGCCGGCTCTCTGCTTCAGCTGTTTGCCCTGGGAAGTAAGTAAGCCCATGGGCGGCTCATGGCAAGTGCTCAGTCAACACCCGGTAAGTGGAATTGAATTTCTAGGTTTTTCCTGGATGACCAAATATTGTACTTCCATAAGCAATGCTTCTGAATAGCCCTTTTGTTTTTGTTTTTTATTATTTTACTTTTTGAAGTAATCGCACTCCCAACGCGGGGCTCAAACTCAAGACCCCGAGATCAAGAGTGGCACGCTCCACCATCTGAGCCAGCCAGCAGCCCCCTGAACAAGCCATTTTGGAAGCGGGTGTTTGTAAAACTGTTACAGACCCCCTGCCTTTTTGGAGAAGTCTCTGATCTTGTAAGAACAAGACAGCCGCTCTTCCGCTCCCATGGGGGAATCGGAACTCTGATAAAGGGGCAGGTACTTCTATTAAGAAGCAGAAAGACAATTGTAACTATGTGGTGACAGATGTGATCATTTTTCAATATATACAAACATCAGATCGTTAGGATGTACACCTGAAACTAACATAATGTATGTTATGTTAGATTTTAAAAAGGCAGAAAAATGAGAATGGAAGTTCTGTCTTCTGCGCTCCCATGACATCGGCAGGGAGCCTAGAACGAAGAGCCCTGTGAACATCTTGTCACAGCTGCCTTATGGCAGGTGTGGGTCGTCTGACTGAAACAGAATCAGATCGGTGAGACAAGGTGAAGTTCCCTCGTTAAAAGCAGGGGCCTGTGTGAGCTTGGGATTTGAAACAAACACAATGGTATCCAGCAAGGAGCACTTACATTCCCCTCCGGGGTCTGCGGGTCCTCCGCGGGGCTCGGTGTCGGGCTGCCAGTCAGAGCACCATGCGCTCTCCATCCCGGGAGAGAGGAGCTGTGGACACGCCGGCCAGAAATTCAGGCCACACCGCCCATCCTGCCACGCTCTGTGGCCTCAACAAGTCATGTGGCCAAGCGCACCTTCCGTGGAGAAAGGGAAGAATCCAGCCCCGCGGGCTGCTGCCCTCGCACCCCATTTCTCCAGCCCCAGGTCCTGGACTTCATGGCCGAGTTAATGCACATCTAACAAGGCTCTGAATTTACAAATCCAGAAAGAGATTCTAGACATACCCCAAAGCCTCGGCATTTATGAGTCCAGAGATAGGTTCGATATTCATGTCCTGATACATCTTTTTAGACGTCAAAAAGGAGGGCTGATATCCATTTCCTCTCAACACTCTACAGGCTTGTCCGGGGCTCCTGGGACCGATGTTTTTGGCTCTGGCCTTGGCCATGTCTGCCTTAGTTTGGATTCTGTATTCCTTCCTTTCTCCTGACCTCAGGCAGTGTACCCGTTCCTAAGGGCAGCTTTCACAGCCCTCGGAAAGGCAACCAGAACAACCTGAGACCAGAAAGGGAGACCCTTGGGTAGGGCATTATGTGGGGGCTCGGGTAGGGGACCCCGGCTCCCCAGATGGGCCTCTGGCTTCCTTCTCTCCTGCGTCCTTTTCTTGTTCTAGCAGAGAGAAGAGGTGTTTAGAGAGCAGCCAAGATACCGTGGAAACGCTCGAGGTGGTGGGACCCTTGGCGGCAGCCTCCTGGGGGGACCCAAAGCCCCGCTCGATGCCTTGTTCTGCTTATGCCTCCAAAAGACCAGAGGAGAGGTTAACCTCTGAAATTCTTAGCCGGAATAGTGGTTTGTTTGGTTTTTCCCATTATATTCTGCCGCACCAACCGTGAGATTTGTACATTCTTTCTGAGCTGTTTCCTGAATACATTCTCGAGTTAAATGCTGATTATACTTAAGTATTTTAAGCATCAAGGAAGGATTTTACTTTAAACCTCAGTCTGGTTATTCTTTGAAATAAGGCTATTACTTTCCTGCCCTCCTGAATTTAATTCAATTTTCCATACCATTTAGGGTGACAAACTATCCTGGTTTCCCTGGGGCTGGAGGGTTTTCTGGGATGCGAGATTTTAGGGCTAACACCAAATAGTCCCAGGCCAATCGGGATGGCTGGTCACCCTAATAATCTGTCAGCCCTATTCACTTTTTGTCCTTTAATGTAGCCACCCGCTCAGAGAGGAGAGAACTTATTCCCTGATTAAAAATCTGGGAAAGTGTGCAAGTTTCCTGACATAAATTTCTCTATCACCAGACCCCTATCCCCTACCCTCATCAGTCTTGCAAAAAATCAATTTGACTAATATCCCCCTTGCCAATCAGGCCTACCAAAGTCAATATAATCACTAACCTCAAGCTATATCGATGCCAGGAGAGATCCTGCTCTAAAGTCAAAGCTATAATCCAAATTTTAAGTTAACATCTCTCAGGGAGGAAATCTCCCATGGAAAAATACCATGGAAAAATCCGTGACTTTGACCACACAGATACATTCATTATGGCAAGACTATAATCACAACATTGCCCGTCAGGGTTTCCATTATAAACGGGGTCTG